GATACCAAACATGTCAATATTAGTGGAAATGAATGTATCGATGGTTTTCTTTTTTATACAAGGTTTAACAAGTATTATCAGATTGATAATTGCATGAATAATATTGGGAATCCCTTGAATATTTATGACTCCATCATGGAAAAGTTTAGTAAATTTCCTCAAAGACCGACAATAAAATGGATCCCGTATACGCAGTTTACAAACTTAAAGAAGGTGGGGGAGGGAGGTTTCGGCATTACTTATAGGGCAACTAGATTATGTCCCGATAATAATCAAAATGAGATTGTTGCGATAAAAAGGTTGTTGAATTCTCAGAATGTTAGCAAGTTCTTTCTGAAGGAGGTAATATTATTCAATTTTTATCTTTTTTTTATTTTTTTTTTTTTATTCAAGCCTTAATCCAATTCATTTCGATTTGTGAATTTAGTTAAAGTCATCATTTCATTGTTATGAATATGAAGGTCGTATTATTGGATGTGATGGATTAACGCAAGACCCCAAAACAAAAGATTTTATGATGGTGATGAAGTATGCAAATGCAGGAAACTTGCATAATTATTTACAAACAAATTTTAACTTTGTCACATGGAATTTAAAGTTGGACATCTTATGGAGAATTACGCAAGGGTACTTCATATTTGATTCCTTCATTTTTGAATTATTTAATCGAATATTTCGTCACAAACTTATTTAATCATTACGTTACTTTTGATGTCAGACTTCTTAGCATTCACGAAAAGAATTATGTGCATCGGAATTTTCATAGTGGAAATATATTATTGGAATATACAAAGCATAATAAGGAATGGTACATCGGAGATCTGGGTTTTTCACGACCAGCTAATGTTACCTCCACGAATGATGAAATATACGGTGTCATACCTTATATTGCCCCCGAAATATTCCTTGGTGAACAGTTCACACAGGTTTCGGATGTATATAGTTTGGGAATAGTCATGTGGGAATTAACCACAGGTTGTAAACCTTTCGCCGATGTTGAACACGATCATCGACTTATCGATGAGATTATTAAGGGAAGTCGGCCTGAAATTACTCAAGATACTCCTGAATGTTTTGTTGATTTAATGAGAAAGTGTTGGGATCCTGACCCTTCGAAAAGGCCTTTCACTGTTAAAATTTATGAAATCATTAATGAATGGTTCTCGAAATTGAATACCGAAGAGTTTGAATTATCTGAAGCGAAAAGAATTGAATTGACGCAAACAAAGAAATTGGGTCCAAAATTTAGTAAAATACCTCATACAGAAGCAATTTTCACAAGTAGAGCTTTAGGTTCTTTGATCGCTAAATCTTCATCAAAGATATCAACACCAGGTAAGTTCAGAATTTGAAACAGATAATTTTGATATGTAAAGATTATTCCGCTTTATTTATTCTTATTTTTTTTTTTCAGATGTTGATGCGCGGTTTGATATAAATAAGATTCAAAGGTATTCTTATATAGGAAGCAATATATTTCAAAATTTTAACCTTAATTTGTGTTTTTACATGTACAGTGCCTTCTTTATTTAAATTGATATTTTCTTAGGCCATTTGACGATTCAGCTTTTCAAAATACTTCAATTCGTAATACAACAAGACCACTTCATCTTAGTAGTGGATCACAAAATGAATTCCTTTCATCCATAAATTTTGATAATGCGTAAAATTCGTATCGAAACACAAAATAATTTCATTAGTTAGATCTTGTGATTATTTTTACAATACTAAATTGATTTTATTTAATAACAATTTTTTTTTTTTACAAGCATAAACAGGAAAACATTTCAGAAATAATATTATATAAACTTACTCGAAACTTGAAGAAATCTACTTGGAAAAAGTTTAATAAAATCAAATTTGACTTACAAATATGAAATAAATAATGAAAGTTACTGAATATACAATAAATTCTTATATATATTTGTTTTTTTTTTTTTACATCCTTCAAATTGTTAACTACGAAATAAACCTCTCTTAATAATTCTATTTGTGATTAATTACAAGTAATCATTCAAATTTTACGAATTCCAACCAATTATATTTATTATCTTATAAGAGATAAATGTAATTTTGATCTCATTCGTTATAAATCAATTCCCTAAATCATTTTATGGAATCTGAATTTTTTTACTGCCATATTCCAATCCAATTAAACTTGGATGATCCAGAACTTATGTCAGATATTAAAAAGTTTACGTTGAATTCAACTTGGTACAATGGTTGATTATTTTAGTTTCCAACCTTTTTATAAATCTCAACGACATAGTAATGTATTCTACACATACTCTAATAGAATCAATTTATTCGAAATTCTAACTTTATTCTTTCATTTCAAAACAACTAGAATTTTCCAAATCATTCATTTCAATCATATTTGTAGTTTCTCAGATATATATTTAATTTCTCAATCATATAAATTGTAATTAAAAAATAAGTATATGACCAATAACTTTACAATTTTTTTTTTACTATTTATTCAAACCAAGAAACGAGCACTAATTTAAATACATTCTTTAGTTTGAATTATTTTATAAATATATTTTTTTTTTTAAATACAACCGAACAGTAGATTTAATTTATAAATATTTTTAACCCATAAGCAAAAAAAAAAAATGGTAAATAATTTTAACAGAGACCGAAAAAATTTTGGGAAACTTAATACTGTAATATGTGTCGTTAATTTGGTTAAGCTTACAGCAAACAATTAGGTTTAGAAAAGTACCCACCAAAAAAACTAAAAATCATTTGCCATCATTCTTTTTAATTTGTTTGATTCTTTTTTAATCATTAATTTAATTTTATTTTGCTTTTAGCTCTTTCGGTGATCTCAGTTCGGAAATAAAAGGCAAGGAATTTTCCATTCTTTTTTTTCGCCTATGCATTGATTAAATAAATAGGCAAGCGTATTCTTATTTGCTTCAATTTGCTTTTTTTTTATTTTGCTTGACGGATCGCTTAGGTTTTTAGTTTAATTTTTTATTTATTTTGCTTTGTGTCGCGATATTTTTATTTTTTTTTTTCGCCATTTTTATTCTTTTTTCTTTTACTTTCGGTCATATTTTTCAGGTTTGATCGTCTTAGGACCGCAGAATTCGAATATCTTATTTTTTTTCCTTTTTATTATTAGTTAATCGCTTCGATCGAATAATAAAAAAACTATGGCAGCGGGGTGTGTTGGATACTCTAGAACCGTCTACATTATTGTTTCGACTTAATCATTATTTTAATTACATTTTCTTTATTAATTTTCATTCACTTCATTTGCTATTACGAATATAATTATGTATTAACTGGGTATATTTCAGCTGAAGCAAATAATTAAATTCTATTAAGGAAAATTCATTTGTATTAATTAGTTGTAGTAGTTGATTCATGTAAAAAAAGTTTTGAGTTGATATTGATTGTCTGGCGAAAACTTGTCTCGGAGGTATGAACTTAAGCCAGAATTATGGTTTACAGGGCATTCAATATATTGCACGTTATGGAAGTCGTACCCAGGCTATGAATCTCACGAACTATCATTAGAAGTTATAATTATACTCATTTCTTTGAGCATGAATTGTCTTTTTCAACTATCGTTGATTTTGAAAAGAAATTCAAGCGATATACTTTAAAAAGCTGATTTTATCTTTTAAATAAAAAGTTGAGCTTGTGTTATGACGAGCATATCGAGAAGATTTTCAAATCATTTATCACTTTATATGCATTTCCTTTATTACCATTATTATGATTAATAGTGGTAACATTGTATTTTAAATACTTCCTGTTTTTTCCTACTTTCTTCATCTATTTTATTTTTACTTCCATCTATTTATTTCCATCATTAACATTTATAACGATATCCCTACGCAAGAAAGTCGCTGATCGTACTTCTCTACGTGATAATGACCACTATTGCACTATTACCATTCTTGAGTTGAAGACAGAATCTAAAAGAAATTGATAATCAGAAGGACGATGTATTGCAAAAAACATTAAAATATTATATTTATGTATTTTGAATTTCATATAATATTCCCTAAATATTTTCAGTTCATAAAGACCTTAGCTTTTGTCAGTTTCATTGCAGGATCACAATCAGGAGATTTAAATTTTTTTTGCCAAGTAATAATTAATAAACTGAACTGAAAAAAAAAATCGTTAATGCTGTTAATTGATGGACTAGATCCTTAAATGTATATGACTTATTTGTGCATAACATTAATAAAATAATGATTGAATGTTACTAGTGATGAATTTGAACAGATATTGCATTGATGTAAACTTTGGAATTTGTAAAAGAATAGATCCAGCTGAAGAGTAGGTCCAGAAACATGACAATGAGGTTAAAAACCTTTAATACATTAAGGATTCTTATATTTACCCACATGAAATATAAGATTATTTTGATGTTAATTACATGGATAGATACAATATTAGGAAAGCAATCTTCATAGCAGAAAAGTTGAACGTAAAATACATGTATTATTAGTTCAGATTATTTTCATAAACTGCCTTTAAATTATTTCGGAATAAGCTGTAAATGCGTCTTCTACAAGTTCCTTTAATTCAAGTCATTAACTTTTCTATCAATTCTACAGTAACAATCTTATAAATATGATATTATTTTTTTATGAAAAGTAAGTAAAATAAAAAAATGCATTTTATTTGATATTGATAATGCTGTTGTTAGTTTTTCACCTTTCAATAAAGTATCTCCATTATATTAAAAAATTCTAAATTGAAAACTTAGGTTTACACATAACACAACTCATTATAATATAAATATTCTTTCACATCCAGGTTTAATATGATAGACGGATCCAGCTTCTCATTGGCTAATATGAAAATAAAGAGTTAAAATTTGCATAATTACAAGTTACTAAAATAACTCACCTTCAAAACGCAATTTATAATTCTTTTACTCAATCGGCAGTCTGATCTTTGGAAATCAACTCAGCAAACTTGACATTTCTTTTTCTCCTTTCCACTCTTCTTTAAAAAGTGGAGCAACAAGTTTAGTAGAAGCATTTTTGGAAGACTTCCTGGCTTTGTTGCTGAGGCGGATTTTCCACAGGAGTTGTCTGTCGTCTTAGATGCTTATCCCTTCAAAAGGAAAAATAAAGTTGAACTATTCTATAATAATCAAAGAAAGATTAAATTAATTACTCTGAAAATTTGACGTATAGCTTCTTTTTTTGTAACAAGTGCATTTGCCTAGATGTTTGTTCGCATCAGAAATATACAGTTTAACTTTGGCTTTTTCATAACATTTTTTGACATTCCCTTTTTATATTATCAAGCCCTTCCAAGTAAGTGTTCATCGTTTTCTCACCAATGACTTTCATCCTTGTTCCAATCCTTCAAAAGCTGAATTAAGAATAGTTTCAAATTTGTCATCATTATTTTAGTTGAAGATTTTATTTTAGCATTTTGATATTCGCTATAATTTAAAAAATAATATAATTAAACTTTATCATTATATGATCTTAATCATTTTACAAAATATTCTCATACTTTTGCAATAATTGCAGATAAAATCAGAATAATAGTTATCCATAATTCTCAAAGTCTTAGAGCTCCTTTTCTTTCCTTCCATTTGGTAGAACCCTAAAGAAAATTATATGACGTTATTTCAAGAAACTACAATTAAAATTGATATCATAAAATATATATTACCAATCCAGTATAGAATTCTTTGATGCATTTTATTAGTAGACCAGTTGATGTTCTGTAAAAAAATTGTTCAGTATCTTTTTTTCTGCAGCGGCTTCATCACCAAAACATAAATTTCAAAATTTTAAAATAGATAAAATCTAACCAAAAGTTTTATAATAATGCATAATACTACCTCCACCAACTACTGCTGCTGCCTTTTCTTCAGCAACTTATGAACATAATAATCGTCTATTTCGAGATTTTCTTGTGGTCATTTTTAAATTCTTATTTTAATTTTTTGATATAAAATATATAAATATCAATGAAACCTTTAGTTCAGGAAATTGGATTCGAAAAATGTATATTCAAAGTTCTACTGTAACCTAGCTCAGTAGTAATGGTCAGCCAATATAAGCTTGCCTAGAAGCTATCACTAGTATTCGATCAACCAGACTTGCCTACAAACTGACAATTAGCAGAGTATCTTGCAATAAATTTCATTTCATTATTGCATATACGCCCAGACTCCAAAAATTACTGCTGCACTTTGATGGTACATCTAACATTTCAGATATTTTGGACCTATGCCATTGTCTTCCTTTCAATCATAAGTATTTGATCTAGGCCATACAGCCCTAAATAAATGATCCTTTTAAGAAAGTATTAGACTTATTTTTGCTCTTATATAAATTGTAAATTGAATGAATCTTACTTCTTTAGAAACTAAGCGATGTTATTTGCAAAAAATTTTTAAAATAAAATGAAGTATAACTAATTATGAAATAAACTGATCTATCGAAAAAAAAAATAATGATCTAAGAAAAGATTAAATAAAAAAAAATAAAGCACCCAATGAAATTAAAAAAAATCAAGAATAAAGATTAAATGATTTTAAAATCAAAAATTTAAAAAAAATAATGTAACGGAATTGATAATGCATCTTCAGCATTGCATGATTACATCATCATCTGTAATTATCTGGTTAGGTGTTATTTGAGGCATTTCAACATTAAATGACAAATCAAATTGACTTAGTCATTAATATGATCTAAAAAATTTGACATGAATTATAAGGTATTACATTCAAATGACCTAAATGACAAATAAACTCAAATGATTAGATCATTTGAAGGTCATTAAGAGGTCATTTTAAAGTAGCCAAATGTCCTTGGTCACTGATCTGAAATAATTTATCTATTTATAATCATTATAAAGTATATTCAAAAAACTTTTAATAATTAATTATAAATACTATTAGAGTGTTTGAATTATGTTCTCTTTATATGGTTGTCCAAAAGGATTAATATCAAGTAACATTAAACTTTATTTAAATCTACCTGAATAAAAACTACATACGTTTGACAAATTTCTAGAAACCTTTCTCTAATCTTACTTTGTTCATTATTCTCTATGATTTACTAGCTTGCAATTGATTTCATTACTGAAATTGATCTTAATTCTTGGTTTGCTATCAAGTACGTGGAGGATAAAATATAAGCTCAATTTATAGTAATTAGTTTGTTCCTTGAATTTAATCTTCTCTTAACTCTCGAGCACTCTCCTATTATTAAAGATCAATTAAACAAAGATCTGCATTCCGCAATATTTTAAAGGCAGTTTATGAAAATAATCTGAACTAATAATACATGTATTTTACGTTCAACTTTTCTGCTATGAAGATTG